GGCGGCCCGGGGGGGGCGGGCTGCCTGCAGCAGGACGGCGGCTTCGAGCACTGGGGGCCCAGCCAGAGCCGCCTGCTGAAGGGCCAGGAGCGGGGCAGCGGCGCCTTCTGGAAGAAGCCTTCCTCCTCGTCGTCGTCGTCTTCCTCCTCGTCCTCCTGCTGCCCCACTACCCCGCTCAATGGCACCCTGACCCGCCTGCAGCCCGGCGGGCATGGGCTGGGCCAGCCCCAGCACCCGGCGCCCAGGACCATCTTCTACGTGGAGGCCCTGGAGGAGGAGGAGGTGGTGGTGCCCGGTGGGATGGAGGTCGCCCCGGAGCAGGAGAAGAAGGCCCTGGGGGTGCCAGAGGTGAAGGAGGGCTACTCGGATGGCGGCGGCCAGGCAACAGGTGAAGGATGTGGACACAGGTACAGTCATCCCCCTAGGGAACAGCCCGGGGTGGGGTGGGATGTGGTGGGAGGACAGTGGTGACGTGTCCCAGGAGGTGCCCTGGTTCCCTCCCAGCCACCTCCAACTGTCTCACTCTGGGTCAGGTGAGTTTGATGGAGCCAATAAAAAAGTTACTCGGGGTGTCCCCACCTCTACCCAGGGGTGATCATCTGGAGAGCTTGGCTCCCACCGTGGGTGCCATGCAGTGGGGCCAGCCACGTGGATGCCACAGGCGACAGGCTTGTTGGCATCTACTTTCTCTTTTTCCGTCTCCCCCCCAGCTCATTATTTTACCCACAGCAGAACACAATGAGAAACCTTCGAGGTAAAGTCACCAGCATGTTAGGAGGCAGGGCTGGAAGAGATGGGCCAGTGCCTGAAACGTGCAGACAAAAGTTTGATCAAAAAGTAATCAGCGGCCTGAAGGTGTGATTCCTTGTTTCCTTCCTTAGTTACCTGCTTGCTAAAGAATAGTTGGCTTGGTATTGTCTCTCTTCAAGTGTATTGCCTGGGTAAGCAAGTCGTGGGACAACCCACTGAATAGAAAGTTAAGTGTGTCTCTTAAAAATTTGGGGCTGGCCATCCCTAGGAGGGTCAGTTGTATCTGGGAAAGTTTATGGTTAACCACGTACTTACCAGAACTAGAAAGTTGCTTTTAGACACTTGCTTTTCTTATAGGAAAGTTTTTCCGTCAGGTGGTTGGTTTACTTGCTCTCTGGAGGAAAAATGCAAGCAAAATATAAAGTAATAACTAATTCCTTCGAAGGCTGAAGTGTAAATAGCATAGAATTCAAAGGTTTCCAGGGACTTTGATGCAACTGAGGCTAAAGAGTAGGTCCCAGAGGACCCTCAACTCCACATTAATCTGTCTCAACTTGCCTTCCTTTTCCTATTATTTAAAGCCATTTTAATTGCATTTCTTTTCTCCTGTACATTTTCTTTATAAACTAAATGTGCAATTTTATTTATAAAAAGAAAGGAACATCTTAACATTTCATGGATCCCATAGATGATTCCTGTTCACTGCATTGCAAATGAAGTTAAAGTTAAGTTAAATATGTTATTATATACCAAGACAACTCTGTTTAAATAATCTCAAACTGCATTAGTTAACATTAAATCTTAGTTTGGCAGAAAGCACTTTAGAGTATGTGGAGAAACACAATTCAACGTATTTTCTAAAGCCAGGCTTTTCATAAAAAATCAATTATTATAGTTCATTTCACAGTAACTACTTTGTTTAAAGAACTGCAGTACATTTCAAGGCTCAAGTCGGAATACGTTGTTAAAATCGGAGGTCAGTGATGCTAAAGTTTTAACCTATACTGGAGATAATCATTCAGAACCAGTTGGATGTTTAATACAGTATTAAAGACACAAATTATTAGCAAGGAAAACTACTCACTCTTCATAATAAGTACTTGAACTGCACTCATTAGGTAAAAAAATGTACCTGGTTCTTGTATATTTTCTTTACACATCATTGACTTAAGGGTCCTCAGAGATTCTGTAGACTGGGAAAGGAAAAAAATATTTCCTATCTTACTGAATGTTAATGGAACTACTTAATTTCTTCATAAGGACAGATATGTTAAATTGATTTTCTCATTATATATGCATTTTGTGATAATGTGTTATTGATGAAAAATGTGTGTTCTTGAGTTTCTAAACTGCGTGGGCTCTATATTTCTAATTTATTGACACTTCAGTAGTCACCATTGCTGCCATTGTTTTGTTCAACTTCTGTATTATAGAATATATACTGAGTAGATAAAATGGTTAATGCGTTTAAATACACTTTTCCCTCTTGGGGGGGGAAAATTGTATTGTTTACAATAATTTTATAATCCAGGGTTTTTTTTCCCCCCTGCCGGGATAATAGCTGTCTAACTCTTTCAGTTTTGAATGCCATGGTGAGACATTAGAAAGTACTGAGAATTTATTTGTTACTGTTGGGTGTCATCAGTGTATCTTTCTGATATCATTCTGCACAGTGTACTACATATAATTCTACAGTCATTAAAAATGTTTAACACCCAGTTTGAACGTACTCTAATCTGTTTTGACCAGTCAGAGTCCTCTTTTCTACAGAAGCAACATTTTCTATAATTAATACTAACTTGTATCACTTCATTGTGTCTGTTGCATATATGATCTATACTTCACTTTTGAATAACAGGTTGTGTTCAGAATTGTGATACAAATGCCCACCCTTCAAGTACATGCCAGTACACTTTGTCAATTTTAAGTTTGTTCAAGTTTTGGCTCCCTTGTTCACACATTTTGACGTGCAACTCAAGACTACTCTATACTTCAAATTTCCAGTTGATAAATGGTTCCAAGGGTTTGCCATTTCATTTTGTGTGATGTCAGAATATATTGACAGCCTTTCAAACTTTTGTGAGTAAGAGACCTTCCTATTCCAGAATGTACCCATGGTTGGAACTCTCAGGATGTGGGTGAACCAGCTTCAAGTTACTGTTCTGCTTGGCTTGGACAGGGACATTTAGTTCAGGTTTTCCACACTTTGTTTGAGTGTCTTTGGCTCTCCCATATGTGGTCTGTCAGAAATTGACCAGAAATTCTATCTGGGAACAAAAAGGCTGGACTAAATTTTGTCTAAACATATGCATAAAGTGTGTGTGTATATATTTTCACTGACCCTGCAAACTCTCTTACTACAAAACTAATTTTTTTAAGGTGGCATATTTCATACCTATAATTATCTTAACTCATGGGTTTTTAAAAAAGTTTTTGTTTAAGCAGAAAATGATGTCATTTTAAACTGTATATTTCAGAATGGTATTATAGCTATGTTATAAGAAATATAAAGGCATGTATATAGTAACAAATCGTTTATGAAAACTAAGGAAATATTTGCTTTTTCTTCATGAGAATGATGTTTTTATTTATAAGAACATTTTGTTATGAATGTGTTTTTTCGGGGGGTTGGGTTTTTGTTTTTGTTTTTGTGGGGTTTTTTGTTTTTTTTTTTTGGTAAAATTTTAAATAAATATTTTCATATCTGGTGTCTTTGAAAGAATATACAATTCTTTAAAGTTAATGCATTCTTAACATAAAGGCAGTCTGACATATAGTTCCTTATGTGTATAATTAAAGCTATAGTAGGCATATCAGTAGCATCTTCATGCGTAGACTAAATGTATTATATCACTTATGGCTGATATGAACCTTATTTCTCCCTTTGCATTCTGATGTGCACTCACAATCCAGGAACAAGAAGAGTTTTCCATTTTATTGACATAAAAATGTTATGCTCATGGTTTTTAACAACACATCTCTTCTTGGTAATTTGCAACTCTTGACAAAGGCTCAGTCTTTACATCTGTACTAAAAACTTACCTATTTATCTTAGTTACTTGAACTCCTTATTTTAATTGTACTGTTCTGTGAAATACTGTCCAGTCCCTTTCATGATGGATGCTATGCAATTTTGAACAAATTTATTTTAAAAAGCACATATAGTTCTATTGTTCGTCTCTAAAGAATTTTCTGTGTGGCTAATCCTGCAAACATTATGCACGTGATTAATGTCATGTATGAGAGCAGAAAAATGTGGATTTTGGTTTAGTTTTTTCAACCCAAAAATTGGGGATTTTTTTTAAGTCAGAGAAAACCAGGTTCCCTGGTGTTCAGTAAATAAAATGCAATTTATTTATTGTGCTTGAAAGATTACATAGGCCGCTTAGAAATAACCATAGCAGACAAATCAAGCATGATCTGTAATAGATTTTTTTCCATGTAGTTTATTAAGAAACATTGTTAAGGTTAGGATTAGTAAAGTCCAGAATTAAGATGGCTCATGCAACTTTAATTCACCCCTATGCGTATTTGCATAGTGATACAGTTTTAAATTACATGGTAGCATACATAGGTTTTCTACAGGACCCGGTCTTATTCAGTGCAAAAGATTTACATACTAATTTAAAGGGGAAGAGTGAATATTTTAGGTTCTCCGTATTGTTTAGTATGTAGCACCATGCCTCATTTACTTTTTAGTATTCAAGACTTACCATAGAACAAATTTATTAACTTACCCATGGACTTTTCTGTGGCATTTATTACTGAATATCTGAGTGCTTCAAATGCAATATGAAATTATTCTCAATACTATTGTATTTTTCAAATAGAAAGCTGAATCACAAAGACTCTCACTCTTAATTTTCAGTGAAAAAAACGGAGTTGCCTAGAACTTATTTTTTCAGAGTAAAGAGCAATATACTGCTAGCACTTTTTATAGCTTTTCTAACTCCAAGAGTTGCAAGATCCTGCAACCAAAGAGCACTTGAGAAAGTTTGGTTTAAATGACATATCATCTTATAGAAACTCTGTGGCAGGGATAGAATCCAATTCTCTAGGGAATCATTAAACTATGGAAATCTTAAGTGCCATTTTTGTTCCTTGATCGTTCAACACACAGCTTTCAACTTCTGCAAGGGTCATATACACAACTGTCTCCTTCATAATATACCCCTGATTCAGTTTTAGTTTAGGTATGTGATTGTTAACTAATGACTGAATTATAATACATTGCAATTATAACCCATGTGCACTTGAGTGCTCAATTAAGGTTACTCTGTGGAGATAGTACATGTACTTTCTGCTCAGCACTAGGCGCTGAGAGAGAAAAATGATCATGCTCAGTGAGAAAAGAATATTTTTAGAAATTATCTGCTAAAAGCACATGCCTCAACTGAGCATGGTTGAACTGTTAATTAAAAAAGCTTATAACCTAGACAAAATGTGGTAGATTTGCACAGTTGGCAGAAAGCACCCCTCTGACACAAAGCCCTTTTGCCTTTCCCTCCAGGAGAGATCAGTCTTTCTGCAAATGTCATTAAAATGGTTCACAGAAAAGGCGGCCAGAATTTTTAACGTCATATTTTTTGGTAATTTCACTCTTAGAAATGGCTAAACAAGTTGGCTGAAATTTTCAAAATATCAGCCTGAGGCAGAC